AAATGTGACATTAGACATTTGTGTTATAGACACTATGCTGTGGATTGCAATTCTATATGGTTGTTTGAACACATCTTTTTTGAGAAGGAAATCGTTCTCCTTAGTCTACCGCATAAGTCCACTAAGAGATGATCACTCTCTATTGCCACCACAAATACAGTAGTGGGGATCTGTTAGGTCTTTGAACAAAAAGCAAAATAATTGAAAAACAAAAGAAACTCTTTATTTGCTAGTGAGACTAAAATCTGAGACTGGAATGAAAAATATCATGGATTAATCAATCAAAACTACTCTGAAGTCTATGAAAACGCAGGTGCACAGATGGATCTCACTTGAGAACTCAAAAGAACAAAGTAACCACAATAAACAATTACACTGGAGAAAAAAACATGAACTGAGGAACAGAGAGGAAAAAAATTCAAAACAAGATCCTCAGCCAGCCGCAGTAAATTTAATAGCAAGAACAAAACCTCTTTATTTCTTAATTTTTCAGAGGTTATTTAAAACTACAGAAAATAAACACTGGGGGCGGGGCAGGGGTGTAGAACAAAGATGACACAAGAAATGGCAGGAAGAGGCAAGTTCTATGGACTTTTGTTGTAAGATTCTTTTCTCCAGTTATCTTCTACTTCAGAAGCTGCCTCTATTTGGCATTAGTAGATGCTTTTGAAAGGGACCCACAAGATCTTTGATGCCTGGATGAAAAAGCTTGTCTGGTTTTGCTGCAACTTTTCTAAATGACATAATAATCTCTAGCAAAAGGCTGTCTGCCAGAAAGTTTGAATCGAGCAGAAGCCTGCTTGTGCACAGCATTTACAGCACAACAACTGAGACTAAGCTACATATTAGGGAGTTCAGTTGTCAAGAATTTTCATGGTTAGAACCAGGAGAGTATAATTTTGTTTCAAAACAAAACGCCGGTCAAACCAGGGTTAGAACCAAGAGCCCATCAGAATTATACTTTGGAACTTCTTTGTGATACTATGCTCCAGGCTAGAAGGGCCCACCCAAGGTAGCCACTGAGCTTGCCTACATTTGAAGAACTAAGACGACTTTCTGGTTTGGCTGGGATCTTGTGTCATGGCTTTCTTGGTTCTTGGTTCAAGGAACAGAAAGAAAAACAGTGGCCAGATAAGGTACCAGGCAGATGTAGTTCTAGGGGGGCAGATCTAAGCACTGAAGTCATGGCAGAACACCAACAACAACTCCTGGCTATACACCCATAAATGAATAGATGACTAATTATTTATTAAACTTATATACTGCCAAATCAGGACTTTTACAATAAAAAGATAAGCTGTAAATATTAAATAGCCCCAAATATACAAAAATAAAACCCATAAAAACATAGAAATAATAGAAATAAAAGTAACAAGCAAACTCTACAAAGATGGGGCCATCTAAAAAATAAGTAAATAAATAAAACAAAGATAGGCCCATCTAAAGTATACTGCAATAGTCTATGCAATGGCTGATGCAGCAAACATGGCAAAAAGGCAAAACAGGATCAAGAGCAGTATACTTGCTCCATCCAAGTCCCAAGAAAGGTCATTCACCACCATTTCTATCCTATGTCCAGATATGAATGCTGAATGAAAGGGATTCAGACCACCTTTTTCCTCCAGGGTATTCCGTAACTGAAGCCCCATCACCTGCTCAACAACTTTCCCTAAAATGAGAAGGCTGTAAACAAGATGACAATATATGATATAGCTAGATCCAAAGAAGGACTCTTCAAAAGGAGCTGCACCACTGCCTCCTTTAAGGAATCAAGTATGATCCTCGTCTCTTACAGAAGTATTGACAGTGTCCTGGATACAGCCTCTCTCCCTTCCCAACTACCCAAAGGAGCCCAGACAGACATGGATCTAAGCCACAGATGGCAGAACTCATGTTAGACTGCACCTATTCATTTAATTGAAGTGCACAGACCAAAATGAATCCCAGATCACATTACATGACAATGGCCAATTCACTACTTCAGACCCCACCCATGGAGAATCAACACTTTATCCAAAAAATGTTGTACATGTACACCTGGTTTCCATATTCCCAGGATTATTCTTCAGGCTCATATACCTTCCGATCAGTGAGGTACAATGAACTTTCCCAAGTGTTTCCAAAGTACAGGAACTGTGAAAGAGAAGTAGACTCCTAGGTCCACAAGATTACATTTTCTAATTGAAGGGACCCTGCCACTTCTGGTGGGGCAAGGTAGAGAGTAAGGAAGATAACCTTGATGGAGATATATGAGCTCTGTTACCAAGGCGATGAGGGGAAAAAAAAACATCTTAAGTCCAAAACAGGCAGATAGTGTTCATAAGCAGCTCAGACAGGCATCTCCCTAATTCACAAGGGCATAAGAAAGGGGAGGAGGTACAGCACAGTCAGACTCACAAGATTCTGTTATTATAGCCAATCTCAATAAAAGTAATTTTAGCCTTCCTGTGGAGTTGATTTCTTGGTGTGGGGCTGACAGCAAGCAGAAACAATTGGAGACAGCCAGTCACCTAAATAACCTGGCCCTATAGAAATTTATAGGTGACAACCAGCACTTTGAATTGTACCCAGAAGCCCACTGGGAGCCAATGCAACTTGTGGAGCACTCCAAATTGCTTACGCCACTGCATTCTGGATCAGTTGTAGCTTCCAAATGCTTTCAAGGCCAAGCATATGTAGAGTACATTACAGTAATCTAATAAGGAGGTGACTAAAGCATGAGTTTCTGTGAGTAGGGCCTCCAGGTCCCAAAATTAGAAAGTTTTTGTGAAATACGAATGAATTTTCAGAGATGAAAGGAGCTTCAGGTGGCAGACTATCAGACTGATCATGGACACAATGGGAAAGGGTCCCAAGTACTGACTGTCCAGCTTCTTGGAGGGTGGCATGTTGATACCCAGATCAAGTCAACTGCAAGAGCAGGACCAGGTTGTTCAATATTCAATGTACAATATTTCAACATTTCTTCAGATGTATCTGAAGTTCCTGCAGAGGGATGGGAAGGAGAACTGGATCTAGAACTGCCTTATTTTGCAGCTAGTCTATCTTCCTGCTCTGTGTCTAGACAGCTAGTCTAGAGGCCAGAAAAGGAGGCTTAACTTCAAAAGTCCAGATTAAGGTGAATAAATTGATATTTAATCATAGATAAAAACTGGGTAAGGTCCTTTATTTTAACCACTGTTATGGATAACAATTTCTTTATTTATAATTTAGTTTTGTGTATTGTATAAATATGACCTTAGCTTGGTTCTTGCTTCTGAACGTATTTGGTGGCCTTACACATCACTTTTTCAGGCTCAGCTTCTCCATCTGTATTGGGCATATTATTAACCATACAATTTGTCAGCCTGTAAATATTTTAAAAATAATATATAAACCCCATATATTATCATGATACAGCACCAGAGCTACTTGGCCATTCCAGCTAATTTACTTTTTTCTTTATGAGAAATCACAGAATCATAGCCCCCTAATATACTTAGATAAACACCATGGTAGCAATTACATAGATCCAGTATAAAGGCAAAATACCTGATCAATTAACATTGATAATTTGAATATCACTGCAGGCTTCAGAATTTGATGGGACTTTTTTTTAACTAGACATTCATAGGATGATATAGTTTGTGACATGCCCTCATTATTAAAATGGACTATACCCTCCTCCCCACCCCACCGCCATTTCTTCTTAATCAGTCTTCTTCAACTTGCTGTCTTTCAACTATATTGGACAATAGTGGTGTTGGACCCCAAAGATCATGCTGGTCGGAAATTCCAGGAACTGAAGTTTAAAACATCTGGAGAGCACCAGTAGAAGAAGGCTGCTTTTAAGCACATATAACGACTAATCTACTCCAGCTTTCTCTGTGTTGGACTACAATTCCTGTTATCCCCAGTCACCACAGAATATAAACTGAGTCACATTTGGGATAGAGCTCAAATCCTCCCTGCTTGCAAAACAAATAATATTCTCTTAAATGTGGTTCTAAGTGTTAGAATTTTGCCTTAAGCTCCCATGCACACTCATATGAACAAACCTGCAGAATACAGCTGACAGTGATTTACTAGATCATAATCATACTGCTTTGCAAGAAAGGTGGGCAGGTATATAGTAAAAGCAGGTCAATTCTGAAAATGACACCAGTTTTAGTTATTAATTTATTCCAAATGTTTATATCCTGTCTTTCAGCCAAAAATTATCAAGAGAGCTTGTGGGAATAATTTTTTAAAAAAATGTTATGTGAGAGAGATTTTTGACACCTGATGCTTCAGACAAAGTTGACCCATTTTTTAATCAAAAATCCCAAATGGTTTAGCGGATTAACTTTAGCCAGCAAATTAAGCTGCAAATTCATTTGTTATTACAAATGCCACCAAAAGTAGAATAGTTAAATACAGGAATGTCTAGTACCTGCAGCTCCAGTAACAGAGATGGATTTTCTAACCATGACTACAACCATATGTTAATTAAGGGTATCTCAAAACAGTAAGAAAACAAAACAAAAAAACCTTGATGAAAGATGTTTTGAATCAGGATAATGAAACCTGCAGATCATATGAACTGAAATTGTCCCATCTGTACACTGATCAGTTGTCAGACAGATTAACAAAATAAACCCACTGTATCCTACTCCATTCACAGTAGTTAGTACCAATTTGAGGGAGTGTTTTGCCTTTTACTTTGATCATAGTAGGGTATCAAGAAGTGGCCAACTCATGATCATTAGTAGCTCTCTCAACCTGGTGTCTTTGAGATGTGTTGGGACAACCACCAGAATTCCCAACCAGTTTGGTCCACTTCTGAAGAACACCAAGTTGGGAAATGCTGATCCAAAAATTTGAAAGCAGGATGGTAAGGGCACCGTATATTTATCCATTCACAGGCAAGGCCAACTCAAATATAAGAAACTATATTTCCCATCTCTTCTTTAAACCTGATGATAGCACTAGAGAACCAAAACAGAGACTGATACACAGAAATAAAAGCATTAAAGACCAACCTTCAGGGCGCTGAATGCAGGTGTGCTGATTATCACTCAGGAAAAAGCCATCCCGGCAGTGGCACTCATAGCTTCCCATCATGTTGACACAGGTCTGTTGGCAGCCACCATTCCCCTCTGCACACTCATCCACATCTATTTCAGGAACCAAGGAGAGAATGAGAAGAATCTGAAACTTACTATTATTAAAAAAAAAAAGATAGCCCAATACAATAAAAACACAACAGAATAAAATCAGGAACAAAAACATCCCCTTAAAAAAAGCCAAGACAATAATAAAATCTCTTTCAAGCCCAGCAAAATTGTTTTTGACTCTCTAAAACTCAGTAGGGAAGGAATACAATGGTGATTTTAAAATGGCTGGGGTATATATTCTGTAATAAATTATAATGAATAAACTTGATGAAGAACTGCTACAGAAAAGACCTTGTCACATATATCTAATTACTTAGCTTGTTATGGTAATGGAACATACAGCAGGACTTCTAATGAAAACTATTGGTTCCAGGCAAGTTCATACAAAAGTTGTTCTTTCAAATATCCTGCCTGCAAGCTGTTTTAAAGCTTTCTAGATCAAACCCAACTTCTTGCATTGGACTGAAAAGCAAATCTGAAATTAGTGCAGATGGGTCAAGTATATGCCATATTTTACATCACCCTTTTAATACAACAAATAAATGGAATATGTAAAGCCAGTCCCCGACATTCCATAATACTGATTCCACCTTCTGATAAGATTTTTTTTTTTTTTAATGAAATGCAGGATAGACTTATGTAGACAGGAACTGGCTTGGGTTTGTCTGATCTTTGTTTAAAATGACAAAATAGTGGTATTTAGCTACTTATAAAGAGCCTTTGTGGAATTAAGCTTACTTATGTGTAAGCAAATGGCACTTTGGCATAGAGAGCACTGCTGAAACACATCATGTGCAATCTGTGTTCTAATTTTATTTTTTAATTGTCAAATAACAACCTGTTTCCTATCCTAAAGTGTATTGAAGCAGCTGAGCATCTTCAGTGAAAATAGATAGTATTGGGCAAAGTTAGGGCTATCACCTCTGGACTGCAAGAATCCAGATGACTACTAGATAGCAACAATGAATTTGTGTTTTCTTTTCTCTTTGCCACTATTTAGTGGTTCTCCAGACTTTTGCAACCTAAATCTGGTAGCCACAGGGTAAAAGATTGTCTTTCTCAATAAAGCAGAATTGGGCAACTGTGACCTTCAAAGATATTGCTGATTTTCATCTCTCAACAATGCCACACAGCATGGTGTGGAATACTAAGAGCTATATTTCAAGAAGATTTGGAAAGCCACAGCATGCACATTCCAGTACTGTTGTTTTGACTGAGGGCTTCAGTACCTCATCTACTACATCATGATTGGGTTCTCAGAACATTATAAGCTGTAGCTGGCTTAACCAAAGCTTATCAGTTGGGTGGGCTCATACAAATATTAAGCCACAAACCAGCAAACTGCATTATGATTAACATACTGTGCAAACCCTATCTACCGCTAAGCCAGACTAGCCTGTGTGAGTCAAAAGCATCCTCTAGGTTGCAGTTGTATCAGTTGACTTCATTAGCTAATGCAGACTCACCTAACTTAAAACAAATTCAACCAACCAAGTTCTTAAGTCTGAACTAACTGCACCATATAGCAATAGAGACTCCCTAACTAAACCCTAGCCCTACTGGTTCAATTTCTAATCATCAATCTATTAAAGAAAATATCACAATTCTAGATTGCTTGCCCTAAGTATCCAATTTCCAGCCCTGCCTCACACCTTGACTTTGGCCAAAAGTCAGTGTGACTCTTCAACGTATACGCTCAATTTCACCAATGGGTAAATAGAAGCTCACTCAGTGTAATATGAAAAGACAATGTAAATGGATAGGTTCTCTCTCCATCCCTTCTGCTGACTATTCTCAGATGAGTCAGATTAATAAAGGCAACTTTTCTGGATAATATTTAGCAGCAGATAGCAAAATTGCAGGAACAAAATCAGTACAATTATTTTTAAATAAGCAATGAAAACATTCTGGTAATTGAAAAAGAGAGGATTTAAGTAAACTTTCACACTGATACAAGTGTTGTTTGCTAAGTTCCAATCAGATGAACACACTTTCTCTGAGCAGACTGTTAACATGAAGGAGAATTTCTTCAGAAACAGCATAACAAAATTCCAATAACCTGAGGTATTTCTAGTTGGATTTAATTTTTAGTGGAGAGAGGTTATATATTTTTGAGCAAGAAGCTAACCAGAACACTGAGTTTTAAAATCTTGGTCAAAAAAACTTTCCAATTCTTTCTGGTTTTATGTTCCCAAAACTCAACAGATGTTTTGTTGTTTGGAACAATGAAGCTTCCACACAGAATTTATTAATAATAAAAAGACTTACCCTCTCTTCCACTTTTTTGAGATCTAGTCCTCTATTCTGTATTAATAAATGAAAGCTATAAATAAGAATAATTCTTACGATATTTGTTAATCTGAATGGAAAATGTAGATAATCCAGAACCTTCAAAAGTTAGCTTCCTAGTAAGTTTAATATCCAATGATAAAACTCATTGAAATTATTGCTAGGGCCTGCAGACTAGAATGTTAGTGGTTTCAAACTTCTCCTAGAACCCCTCTATCTCTTCACACCCTGGTCCTATCACCTGCTTTGGGGCAGAGATAAGACAATAGTTCCTGCTGCCACACCTATCTTCTGGGGGGCCCTCACCTGGTGTCCATCTCCTAATCTTGTTGTGCAACAAAGAGAAGACTGCAATAGTCTGTGCTGTTTTTTTGCCAATTATAAAGCCCAAATGCACTGTTTGAAATCATTTTTACAGTGCCATCTCCCGGACATGTAGTGAAGAGGCGTGGTGACTAGAGGATTCAGACCTTCTTCAATCTTGGGAGATACATCAAATTTGCAAGAGAGAAAAAAAAAATATTAAAAAGGGGGGGGAAGCAAAAACAACCCCCCCAACACTTTAAGTATTAAAGTGTAAACATTCAGCAAAAAAGGAGACAATTAACAAACTGCCCTGAACAGGATAGTAGAGCAGCTTATGAATTAGTTAAGAAAGAAACCGGCCACAAGATGGTGCTGGTCTGCTACAATTGAAAATCTTCTGCCTCCAAATTAAAAAAAAAAAAAAAAGACCACAAAGTGTTCAAAATATTATTACAAATCACAAGAGATTCTAAAGAAAAAGTTATCCTCACGAACACATCTTGAAATACCAATTAAACACCCAATTCTATAACTTATGCAGAGAGATAAAAAACATGAGTCTTAGTACAACCTAGCAAACAAAAATAACCCTCCTCCTCCTTCTCCTTAATTAGTACAAATTCTTGGCTACACATATTCTATAGAAATAGAATTTTCCTAAAGCAAATGTTCCCCTGCTTCAATTACCTGGACAATTTCTTAAAGATTACAGATGCTGTTGGGGAGATAGGAACCCCATTCCTTACCCTACTCCAGCTTCTTTTCATGGATTTTTCTCTTTGTTCTAAAAATACCAAACCTTTTTTATATCCAGCAGAGAGAGAGGCTGGGATATCTGATCCTGGGTAAGTGACCAAGAGCCATTTATCATTCATGGGGATATGGGTTATGAATCTATAGTCTGCAGTCTGACAAGCAGGCTACATTCATAATACTCTTACCAGAAAAAGAAAAATGCAAGAAAAAAAATCCTCTTTAAATTTGATAATTTGAAATTAAATATACATACTCGTCTTTTTAGAGAAAACGTAAGATATTTTAAGCTTCAACTGTCAGTCAGTCAATCTTCCATTATGGTCAATGATCAGAATTCCACTTAAAAAAGAAAAAATTTAAAGCTTACAAAATAAAAGGTAAAACAATAACTAAATAATCAACATGACTGGTTACAGTGGGTTTTAACTTCAGCTCTAAAACTGCTTAAGAAGTCAAGTTCCACTTCAATTACTATTTATTATAATCTGAACAGCATTTTGACAATAATTTCAAGATTACAAATTTGTACATAGGAATATATTTAATTGAATCACAACAATTCTGAGAAAACAGATCTACTTTTTAGCTATAAGCATTCTTTAAGCCCTTAATGTCTACTTTCTTTATACAAAAATAATCTCTTTCAATTGGGGTGATAGACACTGTTTATTTACATTATTTTAACTGCTTTTCTAATTAAAAATATTCAAATAGATTGCAAATAAGAAAAAGTTAAAAAGTATTCCTATAAAGCTAATTTTTAAACAAAATGTTATGTAAAGTCATAGTGTTGATGAACAGCTCAAGGATTAAGCTGGTCCACATTTTTCTGCATGGAGTCTACCAAAACAATTGAACAAACAAGTTTGGCATTGTAATTCCTGGCTGAACTTAAACTAGGAAATTCCTGGACCAATCACTGTCTCTTATCCTAACCTATCCTCATAGGGTTATTCTAAAGGAAAAATGGGATGTGTTATAGAGAATTCTGAGTTCTTTGACAAAAGAGTACAATTTTTTTAAAAGGGAAATCAAATTATGGAGAAATTACACATTTACTATTAATTCTTATATTACTGAATATAATTCTTATTATTTCTAAATAGGTATCTCAAATAGCTATTTAGTTTCCAACCTTTCTGAGCCAAAATAGCAGTTATAGTGGGTACAATCAGAAGGCAAACAAAGTTGCTTACTCCCTCCTCTAGTTCATCATCACTTTTATGCTAAAAATGCCTTATGGGGTATACTTTGTTTTATAGTAAGCCCATTTTCCCTTTTTTAACTAAAGGGATCTATATATATTATAAAATACAGAAGGGAAATAGAAATTGGTAGGCATCAAATAAAATATCAACAGCCACACTGATGGCCAGGGCTACCACCTTGGAAACCCCTGCTGCAATACCTAGAAAAAAAATTAGTCTGACAGTGTCACCTCCCGTAATAAGTGCAGATATTCCTCATACCATTTAGTTGTAATCTGAGGTCATGTTGATGTGCTAGTTTTCAACTAACCTCATTATTCAAGAAATCTGATACAGTAAAACAAATAATGGATTCAGCTACTATTTTCAAGATGTACTGCAAGAGTGTCAGAGATTTATATGTTTATTTATGGAATTTATCTGACCATTTGAAATCTACCA